AAATGTATTCAGTTCAATCTTTGACTTCAAACCGGATTTTTCCTGCTCGGCGTGAGCCTGTGTTTTTACAACAGGCGGCGCAGATGCAGAAGAAATCTCTCCTTTGGTTGTGAGAGTCAAAGAAGCAGAACTTTTCCTGAGGAGAAAATCAGATTATCATCACTGGGTTGTTAACTTTCCTTCAGCACAGTAGGTATCAATGTTTAAACAGTATTTTCAAAAGCAGAAGTTCATAAATTAAATGTTGAAAAGTTAGTCTAGAAACTGGAGCGTCTGTGTTTCTGATCCGGCTCTCCTCGGCTCACACAGTTCCCCGCAGTCAGAGCAGAAGAAGAACGGCATGCAGAAAAGAAGCCGTGTTCCAGTAAATGTAATGATTTATTTACGACAACATCTCCTCATCATCCTCACATCTCCTCAGCCCTGAGTCTGCAGCTCCACTCACCCCTCTTCACTTCAAATGGCTTCAAATACTTACATTTGGCACAAAAACAACACAGTACGTCGTCATCTGCAAATATCAAAACAAACGCCACGGATGCTGTTGGCAACAGTATAGTTTGGTAGACCTTAAAACCAGATGGAGTTTTTGTTTGTTTCCACATATGTTCTTTACATAATTTAATTTCAGTACTATTTTTAACTTTCTGCAAAGTTTTGATTTATATTTTTTATTTGATTTGTTCTGTTAGGCCTTTATCTTTACCAGACTTTTCAGTCCAGGATATCTTTTTCCCCTCTGATTAATCAGCTTTGGGTTGTGGATTAATCATGATTAATCATGAATAACTGAGATAAAAAAAGACAAATAAGACAAGGGTAGAATTCAGTAGAATTGATCACAAACAGCCGGATGGGCGAGTCACCGCTTGACTCAACCACTGACTCAGTTTTTTTTATAAATATTTTTCCTGCTGCTAAGACGTGTCTCTGACAGCAGTGACAGAAAAGACTTATCTTCCAAAGTGAAGCATATTTGTGCGTTTGAATTGAGCAGTTTTGTGACGTTGATTATGTCATTGTTTGATAAATGATTTGTTTTAATCTGTTCCAGTTCCATCAATGAAACCAAACCCTCCCTGTGATTTGGCTTTTATTTTAATGCAGCCTAACCTCGGCCTCCACTTCTCGACACAGCTCTCCATTAGGTCCAGGCCTGGACCCCCCCCCCCACCCCACCCCACTGGGGTTGTTTACCAGACGACAGGCAATTACTGAGAAATCACACCCTCAGCACCGCTGACCGGCCCTGCTTAGGAAACAGGTGGAGGACGGCGATGTGTGTCCTGCTCTGGATTCATATCATGATCATGAATGATTCAAAGACACGCACACCCCCACCCTCCCACCTCA